TAATGTAAATCCATTAATCTAAATGAGTTGTTATCTTTTTTGAAAGAAAATACTTAGATGAAACGTTGTTTCTGTTTAATTGAAAACATTTATCAATGATATGTCTTGAATTTAGATTCATATAGACATTCCACGCATGTCTCCACTAATGGCAATATTCCAACAGGTCGTTGTACAAGAATTATTTGAACGTATTTTATTTATATGGGCTATACGTCATCCAGCTAGTGGCTATGTGCAAGGGATTAATGATCTTGTATTACCATTTTTTGTTGTTTTTCTTTCAGAATTTATTGAGAATGGTAAGTTCAATATAATCTTTTAATTAATAGTAAGACTTAATAAAAATTCTAGATGTTGATATTGAAAATTTTGATATTAGTTCATTATCTGAATCCAATCGACGTATTATTGAAGCTGATAGTTATTGGGCAACATCATATTTACTTGAAGGTATTCAAGATAATTACACATTTGCTCAACCTGGTATTCAATATAAAGTTCGAACATTAGAAGAACTTATTAAACGTATTGATGGTTTGTTTTAAAAAAATATTCGTTTACTTCTTTTGTTTTTTTACTACCGTGAAAATTTCTTTTTTTTTTTTTTTTATAGATCCACTTTATCGACATTTAAAAAATCAAAATATTGAATTTTTACAATTTGCTTTTCGTTGGATGAATAATTTACTTATGAGAGAATTACCTGTAAGATGTACTATTCGTCTTTGGGATACTTATCTCGTATGTTGAATTTATCTTTTTTCAAAATTTAGCAACAAATTTCTATCTTCTTTTCTTGTTTAGGCTGAACAAGATGGTTTCTCTCATTTTCATTTGTATATATGTGCAGCATTTCTTATTCGTTTTTCAAAGGATCTTTTACGAGAAAAAGATTTTCATGTAAAAATAAAACAATAACAAAAAGAATTCATTCTTTATTTTTATTTATGAATTGAATAGGGTTTATTACTTCTTCTTCAAAATTTACCAACACAGTCATGGACAAGTAATGATATAAGTGTATTAACAGCTGAAGCATATCAGTTAAAAGTTATGTTTGCCAATGCTCCACGACATTTATCAAATTCATGAACAGTTTATTCAACATGTTTTTGATTTAATTAATATAATTATGATCTTTTCTCTTACATCATTGATCTCTTCTTAATTCATTAATCTGAAAAATCTCGAGTGATATATTTTCGCTTTTTATATTAAAAAATAATTAATATGATTCTTTTCTTTATTTCTTTCTTTTTGTTATAGACATTGTTTTGCAATAGTTGATTGTTATGTACTTAATATTATTTTTTTTTCTACATATATATATATAACGTGGTTAGAAAATCTATACTTAGTTGTTTATTGTGTTATTCTTTGCATGCACAATAGCAATGTGCTTAGAGTATGTAAGCAATATGTTATGAAACAAAAACTAACTGTTTTGTTTTCGTTTGCTACGATGAATGGTAGTTTTTTATTCATTGATCATATATTTAATTGCAGTCTAAAAATAATTAGACGTGTAGTGCTTGGAACTTTTCGCAATGAGAAATCGCTTTTTATTTGTCTCATTAGATAATTCGTGTTACGATAAGAGACTGTTTATAAGATACTTGTCAATCAGTCTTTCGTCTTAGTTCATTATAAGTATAGTAGTGAAGTTTTTAATGAAATGGCGTTGTTCTTCTCAGAACAACTGCCAAAATGACTTTCGATTCCTAATTTTGCACAAATGAAATTCTCAATGGCATTGGACTATTGAGAAAATGACCAATCTTCTAATTATTATCAGATACATATAGTAGAAGTGTTTTTTTTATACGAAAAAGAAGCTTTGTTTTTATCTTTATATTCGCGAAAAGAAGATGCTAGAAGATTTAATAGTTTCTCAATAAAACTGTTCACATGAAAAAAATTCTTTATTCAAACTCTATTCTGACACTGATTTGTGGAAGAACATGGCATTATGTTGAAAAATTCACTGATAACGACGCTAAATCAAGAGAAAAAAAACTCATGAGCATAAAATCTTTTAGATTATTCCTAGTCTCAATAGTGCATGTCTGAAGAGGTAAGACTTATCTAAAAACAAAAAAGCAATTTATTACTTGGTTAGGTTCTCTCATGAGACTGATTGATATCTTGGAAAGAAAAAGATTGTTTCGATATATGCTTAAGTCACTAGTTTCGTGTCTATCGAGAACTATCGTGAATAGAAGTCAGATATACAGTCAGGCGATGCTAATAAGAGAATTCTCTTCTTCAAAACAAAATTAAACGAAAGTTGTGAATAGAAACTTCGACACCCATCATTGTAGTGTATTTATTGACAGTACATAATAATCAGACAATAAAATATTCATTTCTGTTATTTTTTGACTTACGACATTTGACGATAGTATTAATCTTCTTTTGGCATGTTTAATTTTTGTTTCGGAGAAATACTTCAAAGTCTTAAGTTCAGCATAGGTTATGTTCATGCTATGGAATTTTCAGATATTCCAAAAGAAATAAAAGCATCTGGATTTAAAGTAAATATATATGAAATAATCTTTTAAAGAAAATGACACTTATAGATTTTGAAGTTTATTTATAAATGATTGATTTAATATGTAAAATAAATCATTATGTAAATTTCATTATGATGTTATTTGATCTCATGATAGAAAACAAAAAAAAACCATTAGTCATCAGAAATTATTTGACTATAGATGTAAGTTTGAATAAGTCATTGATTAAGTCGATGTCAACAAGAAAAGAGAATAGAGAGTGAAAGAAAAATGAGTTTTCTGTTAATGTTGTTGTCTTGTTTCCTGTTGTAGAGGAAGAAAAGAAAATCGATCACTCTTTTTTCCCATTAAGTAAAAACAAGGAAAAAAATAGGTCTCATAGAAATATTTCGTAGTAATAGAAGAAAAAAACCATCATGTTCATTCTATTGAATAGATCAGAAAATATTGCTCTAGATTTTTCTTTTTAGATTTTATATTATATTTTTGCGAGTAAACTCATTGAAAAATGTCAAATGTCGGTAATAAACAAAAATTAATTGAACAATTACGTGCCGAAGCAAATTTTGATCGTATTAAAGTATCGGTTGCATGTAAAGATTTAATTAAATATTGTCAAGATCACGAAAGTGGCGATGTGTTAGTGGTTGGTTGGGATAAATTTCATATAGATAATCCATTTAAAGAAAAACAACTATGTGTAATGTTATGACTACGATATGTTGTCTTCTTCATTTATTTAATCAAAAATATTCTTAATATTCTCATACGTTATTGGCATCGTTATTGGAACTGAATAAATATGTTTGTTTGTATTTTCCTTTTTCTTGTGCAATCTTTTGTGTCTATTTGCTGTGAGCGTATATTACATCCTGCTTTTTCTTTTATGTATCTATGCATGTTGTGGATTATTCTTCAAAACTTATTGCCTTTGTTAGTTTTATATCAAAATTATGAATACTACTAAATAGAATGAGAAGTTTTATATTCAATGACTCTGTATTAGCTATCAAACTATAGCCACGCTATTCAAACATGTGTAGTTTGGTATTTTTATGTCAATATTAGAAAGATTAATTTATATTGTTATAATCAAAGTACGATGATAAGATTACCATCAAAAGAATCATATTATGGGGAAAAAGATTTAACTTTGAATGATATTTTCGTGTAAATTTTTTCAATAAATTGTTTTTTTTATCATGCATGTAAACATTCTGAATATGATGTGGTAAGATAGTGAGAATACGTAAAAAAAGAGCTTGACTATAGCTTTATGTATTTGATAAGTGTGTACGTGTAAATCGATTTTTTTTTCTCTTATTGAATTAGTTTTGAATAGATAAAATTGATCAAATAAATGTATGAAATTATATCCATGCCGGTAGATTCTCAACGGATATATCAATCAAGACAAAATAGACGTGAAGAATTCCACAATCAAATAAGATTCCAAAATTTACATCAAAATGCTTGTTTTCTTTTAATAATAGATAGAATTATATACGTAACATAAAAACTCGTATGTGCTCATCATCTCCTATTCACTTTTGTCTCTCGGTTATTTGAACAACTGATAATTGAATTTCATTGTACTTATTATATAGGATAAATAGATTATAGAAACATGATGTTAATGTATTGGGTTGTTTTACTGCATACAGATTCGGTCCGAAATAAATAGCATTCAAATAAGGAAACTTCTATTCACTAAAAAAATTACCATACACGATTTAGTTTTTTATTAATTCATATTGATATCAAGTTCTGTTATCGAAACATGACCAGCTAATTATTTAGTATGGTGATTGGTATAGGTGTACTTGCATTTCTTGCTATTTATAGTATATACTTCGCATGGATATAAGAAATAACAACTCGAATATAACATATGAAGCAGATTCAGTATAAATTTAATAAAAAATCTTCATGTCCGATGAATATTTAATCAAGAAACAATATATATATATATAGACAGAGTTTGTAGTCTGATGAAGTTTGTTGTGCACTGCTGGATGCCAAGAGAAAGAAAACTTATGGAAGTTAATAATTATAAGCGCTATATTAGTGAAAAACAGAACTGTTATATCATATTTTAGCTTTAATCGTCAGAATAAATCATCGAAAATTGATTCATTTTATTCTCCATAGTTTCTCTACAGTATTACAAAGAAACCAATCACTATTGTAATCGCAACAGAAGTACATAATTACGTACTAAAAATGTAGAAAAAAATAATAAGTGATTTCGTTTCTTTACTTTATAAATTCACTATTATGAATCAAGTGTATCCAAGATTTCCTTTTACATCAGAATAAATGTCAGTTTCTTTTATTGTTTCTGTTTTTATTAAATGTAAATCAAAGCTCACACAACAAAAAAGCATTCAATAAACAAAGGCGAGAATAAAATATTCTTCAAAGAAAAAAGAACATTCATATGTATCATTTGATTTATAGAGAATGTTGAGATTAAACACATGATTATGATGAATTATTAGTTGATTTTGTTGATTCAACATGAGTTTTATTAGTAGCTTCTGCTTTGGTTGTAATAACCTTTAATCATAATATATAATTAGAATATTTTAACTAATAAAATGAAAAACATGAAGATACATACTGTCGTTGTAGTTGATGCAAGACGATGCGAAGCATCTTCTTGTCCAAGTGCAACAACTTGTTCAGCAATATGATCTAAGATAAAATTAAATAAATTAATGATATAGTTCAATGGAAGACTTTACTAATTTTTGCATTGGTTTGAGCTTGAGCTTCTCTAAGAACACCCTATAGATGAAAAAAAAATTATGTAAGAAAATAAAATTTTTTATATTAATATACCATCTTTAAACGATTAGCTTCTTCATTAAGTTCATCAATGCGTTGACGTGCTGATTCAAGAATAAGTTCTTGTCGAATATTAAGTTCTTTTTCAAGTTGAGCAAGTAAAGTTGCTTTTTCAACATCAATTTTAGCAATTTGTTCTTGAATTTTAAGTTTACAATCATGTTCAATTGCTAACAAGAGAAAAATTTTTCATTCTAAAATAAAACTGATTAAATAAATACCAGCTGTGCGTAAATTAGCATCAGCAAGAAGTTGCTGTTGATGCTCTTGTGTTTCGGCAACAATTTTCTTAATTGATTTAGCAACAGCTTCACTGATTTCTGCAGTACGTTTACGTGAATATTCATCAACTTGACGATGTGTTGATCCTTAAATACAACAAAATAAAAAAAAAAAATTTTCTTTTCTATTCATTTTATTAGACATACCAAGTCGAGCCATAAGATCAGTTATCTTTTTTGCATTTTCAATATTAACTTTTGATTCGGTTTCAGTTTGAACAACTGAATGTACATGAACATTTTCAGCTTGTGTTGAATGTATTTTAGTTGATCCGGAATTTGATGTAACGTTCATAGCAGAGGTACTTACATAGGACATTATCGATTGACTTTAATTTATCGTTATACGCATAAAATGTTTATAATATATATGTAATGCGAGAAGGCAAATAGTACAACTATATATACGGACAAGTATGTTTTTATATGGACCTCGATCACGTTTTATCTTTCTTCGAACGATACATAGTTCGTGCCATTCTCGATAATCATTTGACCTTTTATTATGCTCTCGTCAAATAGTGATAAAATCTCGTCTAACTATATCACGCAATTATAGTAAATATGTACTCGAACACAATGGGATCGACTGAAAAAGATATATTGCGTCGGTAAATATCTATCTTAAGGACAAAAATGGACTCATCTTCATTTAAAGCTCACATACATTTGTTTAAAAACATATTTTATAGAATTTTCTACATAAATAAAATTCTTTTCACTGTTTATCATTAAAAAAATCCTCTGTTGACAATAATAATTAATACTAATAAAAGAATCGATGAACAAAAAGTTTATCACTTATTTCAAAATTTAAATGAAACATGGTTTAGTCGATACATTGTTAAATATAAATATGTTCGATAAATATTATTGTATTAATGGAAAAATCTTGAAGTCAGCATGGTTCTTTGGGATATTTATAAATCTAACATAAGAAAAATATTAATTAGGTTGCATTTCGAACATATCGAACACAAAGTATAAGTCTCGGTTTTGATAGCGTTGTTGTTTGAAGATGGTCCAATTTTGATTCGATTATTTGTCATTCGAAGTTGCTACAGTACATGATTGCTTGAATAGTAGGAATGTTTTCATCTCAAGCTGTGAACATATAGGTTTTGGAAAGTCTTCATTAATAAGATTGAATGAAATGATGATGTAAGATTTTCTCAGTTTTCATAAGTCAGCAAATAGAATAAATAAAAACATATTTAATAGAAACCCCCGTGATAAAATAGAATCGTATAGTTAAATATCTTAAATTGGTTTCGACATAAGTTGCTTCTAGTGAGAATTATGAAATTCGTAAGTTATTATCCAATTTTCGGCATTGTTCCTCAATCTTTATTAGTGTAAGAATTCAAATTTGTATTCAAGTGTCGACTGTTTCAACTATCCATTTGTTCGTCCAAGAAGTATAAACATGTGTTTAAAGAATCCGAAATATTTTTCATTATCCGCATATATGTCAAGATTCTCTAGTACATCACCAATCGATAATTTATTGTTTTAAGAATTCAAGTTTTAATTATTACATGCCTAGTCAGGATGTTCTTTGTACTTGTTTTTTTCATCGTCCGATGTTCTTTGGTTGACAGACATATTTTTATGAATTATACAAAGTTCTTCTGCGCATTAACTCAAATACATTGAATAACTTTTAAGCAAGTAATGATAAAGAAGTAAGTTTGTTAAACATTAGTTCCGCGAATAGTCATATAATTTAGTTGAATTCATCCATTATGTATCTTTCAAACTATAAATCGTGTGAAGTGTACATGGATTAAATACATAAATTCATATGGTATCTATTCTATATTCATTACAGTGCAAATTATCAACAATGGTCGCTAGTCATCTAAAGGGTCTTGAGGAAATTATAAACTTTTCTCCATATTATTTACAACTCATTGAAATTAACAAAAAATATCAGCCTTATCTTTATGTGATCATCTAGTTAAAAAATGTTTTTATTTTGTACTAACAGATACATTACTAATGAATTTAAAAATATTTTATCTTTCATAGGGTCGACTGAGTATAGATCGTTTGTATTGTCGATTAACGTACCACCGGCAACACATCAATTTGATCTTTCACATACTAAGATTATTGAATTTGTGTTTGTTGCTACATACATTGTTAACACTAATATCTTAGAAACTTGTAAAACGTAGAAAAAAAGAAAAAGGAAATGGAGATTAAAGCGTTTTATACTTGTTGTAATAGAGCATTGTATATCGAAAATGACACGAGAGGGCAACTGAAAATACTTATAGATAATCGGAAAAAAAATACAAGTTAACAAATATTAAACTTGTCATAAAATCTGGACAAAATGATTAGCAAAGGAATGTCTCTTTCTACCGGCAATGAAATCTAGGTTGCTTTGTCAACGGAATTACAGTTCTAATTATCGAAGTTGTTTTAGAATTATTGTACATGATAAACACTTATGATTATGGATCTAGAACAATATTGTAGTCAATATATTTGTGATGGGTTTCGGTACTTCTGACAGCATTAGCTCTGCCAATCATATCCATTTGATTTCACTATACATATGACAGGAGATAAGATCATGTTGCTGATGAAAACTAAATTTTCTGGTCAAACATGTGAAATAGAAATAAGTTCAGTATACCTTTGGAAAATCGAATAAAAAAACGTATTATCAGTTACAAAAAAATCTTTCTCTGACATTCTACAAAAATGTATTATATGAATCGGAAATAATGAATTGAAGAAGTTTTATTTGTTTCATTATTTTGTTTTATTAAATTCTAATGTTTAGAAAGATTCAATTATGTTCGTATCCATAAATCATCAGCCACTATTTTGGACATACGTTACGATGAATACAAAGACTACCAGTGCTGTTATTCATGCGCACATAATCCGAAAGACGACAAAAACATCCAGTGATACATTGTTCCGTGCAAAATTCAGGCTTGTTATTACAAGTTTCGGGACATGCTGAACCACAATCGGTGAATACTTCGTTCATGCCACAACATTCTTTGGGTTCAACACATCTACCATCTTTCGTACGATACAAGCCTGCCTTGCAGAAACAACCTTGAACGCACATTTTCGGACATTTTTTTGGTGGTTTTGGAAGTGGATAAGACCAATCTTCACATACCGGTGGACATGTAGAGCCACACGTTAAGAACATCTCGTTCTCACCACAATTGTGAACGTCACTTGGCTTACATTCTTCACGTTTGATGCAACGGCTTTCGGTATCGTTCGATTCTCGTACATATCCTTCTTTGCAAAAACAGCCGAACTTACACACCTTTATGCAAATTTTAGGTTTGTAGTCGCATGTTTCAATACAAGTTAAACCACAAGTGTATTCTTCGTTTTCACCACATTGATTAACTACTATTCATTGAAAAACTTTCAATTGATCAACACCTATTCTAGAAATATTTTTACCTAAACTTTGAGCAATCGCAATATGCACAAGTAAGAGTTTGATAAACACACGTAGAATCAAGGGCATGTTTCGAATATGCGAATCGTAGTATCGGAATGAATGAGTACAATACCATATGGTTGGGCTTTAATAAATAGATAAAACGCGATAGAAAGAGAACGAAGGTTGAGATTATAGCACGATGGTATTAGCCAAATGGGAGGCGAAAGCTAAAGTGCGACACAAACATGTTTAATACCATGGGAATAAATGCAGATCTGAATCAAAGTCCGAAAAAGTAATAAAGAATGCGATAGAATATAGGATGAAATATTTTCGATTTCAAGAGAGAGAGGGACCTTAAAGTCCATCATCTCTTATTTTATACTTTTAAAATTAGACTTGTTGGTTTTAATCGGTGTTTGTCACAGTATCAGGATTGATTTTCAAGATGCCTTGCATCTGAGATTTTTTTTCATCCCGTCGACATTATACATGAAGTAGAAAACGGATCTATTTTTTTGTTATGTCAGGACTCATTTAGAACGGTACTACTAGAGATCTAAAATCGCAATTTAATGACTAGGAACATCTTGAACAATTTTTATAGTCATTGAATTACGTGTTTCAAAATTAATGTAATAAGCCAGTTCATCCATGAATATAATAACAAATTCTTAATTGCATACATAGCGTATTCGGTCAATATTCCACATCATTGCTGCTTCTTGAATTATTGAGTCGATCAACAGTAAAGCAGATCATCTAAGAATGTGATATATTGATAGAAAAAAAAAAAGAACAACGTTCTTTTCATACCCACATCCGCATATCATAAATGTGAATATACATGTGAACACGTCGATCAAATTTTGATTGTTCACAATTAAAATCAAGCACTATAATAATGTGTGTAATGTTTAGTAAATTGAGCGATTGATGACTTTCATATGAATTCGTATCACCGAGCCACAGATATGATCGTCGATCCTATCATCTAAGAAGACTTATTGAGAAGTAGTGATAATGATAGTTTCACACCTGAGTTTTAAAATCATCAACGATTCTAATGAAGTAAGAAATGATTATAGTCATCTATATGTTTTTTCTTGGCGTCAAACTAATACAATATTTATTGCTTCTTTTGTTTTTGATTTTATAGACAACAGAATTCTTGTAATATTCAATGGCTCATGAAAGAACAAATGATGTTTGCATTATTAAAATATTACTATCTAAGTATATGCATAACACAGGTTAATTTATGATTTCTTCATTTTTTGCGTAAACAATCCGAGGAAAAAATTTGAAAAAATTGAGATTTTTAAAGAAAAGTGCTTACTTCAGGCTCATTCAGTGACGGGTCACCATGGTGGCAAGGTGTGGCAGTTGCCATACCAAAATTTTCGTTCATTATGGGCTTTCCTGTACGACTATATTTTTCGATCCAATCTTTAATCGGAAGTGAGTAAAAAAAATTAGACCAGAAATGACTCCTGCTTTTTCATAGAGGTATTCTCAGATACGCTCGATTTACCTATTTTTTCTCGAAGTGATATAACGGTTGATCGAAAATTATTTGGACAAAATGTTTGTTCACTTTTGACTCGCCTGAAAGTATTTCCGACGGGTCAAAATCTATGCGTTAGAATCAGAACTTTCTGATCTTTCCGAATATGGACTTAGAAATTTTATGTCGATTTGTGTTCGAGAGTAGTGAAATAATCTTTGAAAGACCCAACAAATTAATTTGGACGGAACGCTTGGATCGAAGTTTCTGATCAAAATATTCATTTGTTTTGGCTTGCTTGAAAGCATTTTTAGATGAGTCAAAACTATGGATTAGGACCAGAATTTTGTGCTCTTTCTGGATATGGGTCTAAACACGTTGTGTCTATTTTTGTTCGAGAGAAGTGAGGAGACCTTTAAAAGGCTTAAATAGTTAGTTTGAACTGAGAAGAAACAGGTTCTGCTAACCCATACAAATTTCTTTGTGAAGATGCTAAAAATTCTCGGATACCGTAGTTTCGTAGAGCAAACAATTCTTTACAAAAAATGATATTGAACTAAGCTGTAGCTTTTCCCAAGGTAAACTATACGCATTTTTCCAAGAGCTACTGTCCAAATAAAACGCTTTTGATAAAAAAACGATTTTTCAAAAATGACGATTTAGGAAAAACGAATACTCAGAAGTCTTGTCCATAGAAAAAAAATACTCACACAGTACATTTTGTAGGATAGGTTTTGTTCTACAAGCTCGTATAATAATGAAGGTTCCATCTTTTAGTTTCGGATGACAACAGTAAAAATACAAAATGTGCGTACAAAATTTCCGTCCAAACTAAGTTTTTGGACCTTTCAAAGATTGTTTCACTACTCTCGAACAGAAGTCGGCATAGAATTTCTAAGTCCATATTCTGAAAGAGCACAAAATTTTGATTCTAACGCATAGATTTTGACTCGTCGGAAATACTATCAGGTGGGTCAAAAATGAACGAACATGTTGTTCAAATGATTTTCGATCATCCGTTATTTTGATTGTATTGATGAAGTTTTTTTATGAAAAGTTTGTGATGTCATATATTTTTTTTGATGCTTTTAAGAATGAAAATAATAAATATAATATGAACAAGATGCCTACAGTAGAAACTTAGTATGAAAATCAAAATATATGCACAAAATTTAAGGTTCTATTTTTTTTTATAAGTTCCTTACACTCTTTAATAATTTTGCCATATCAAAAAAATGACCCTGGCCCGCCGATGGGTTCATTTCTGTAAATGTTAATGTATCTCAATAAACTCGTTTTAATTTTCAATAGTAAGCATAAAAGAATTTTTCAATGCAACAAATCATGTTGCTTGGGTGACTAGTTAATAGAGAAAGAGGTACCATGACACATGCTGCTTCGCTTTATTTGGAGTCATATATGTTGTTCTGTGGCTATGTACTTTGTAAGTTACCATATTGTAATGAGTCAGAAAAGAGAGATATAGTTCTGATGCAAGAAGCTCGAAAATTCTTTTGATATTGACATGTCTGTTTGTATTCATACGAACTCTTCTCCTACTTTTCGTTTTTACGTGTTGTTTTTGTTCAACATTTCATATATACCAACTTAATATTTCTTCTCGATATCGAATACAAAGATAAATTCAAATGTAGAACAGCTTTTTCGATTCATACACTTATCACGTTTTAACAAAACATTTTTCTTTCACATAGTCTTCTTGTTTTTTTTTTACTTCAATATTCAATGTGCAAAGATAGACTAGAATTATTCATTTTTTGAAGAAGCTCAACTCATACTGTTTTACCTATTAATAAAATCTTATTACAAATAGATGAAGTTCATTTTGGACAACTGCTTCGATCCCATATTATGGGATGTCTTAACTGCAATGCCGAGAGAAGAAAAATCAATCTTTGAGAGGCTACAGTCTCTATGTTGGATAGATCATTTCTTTTTTCTACTAAAAATTACATCATGTACTTGTTTCAAGTTCATTTCAGGTGTCAAACGTTTAAAATAGACATTGTCACGCATAACATCATCCAAATGATAACCGATTGAAACACATGTTTCTTCACTAATTGGAGCGACTGATTTAGTAATACGACCTCTTAAGTGTTCAGACAAATAGTATCCTGTTCGACCTTGTAATGCAGCACAGATGAGACTATGTACAATCGAATGACGAGGACAACAACGAGTAAAAATATCTACATAGTAGCGAACAGCATCATCATGTTCATATTTTCACAACCATGTGAAAGCAGCATAAGGAGAAAGAGCAGTTAATCGTACATCGATGTCAGATTTAAGAACACCATGACCTACTTCAAGATTAATGCCGATGACTACGATGCATTTTGATTTAACCTTATCTGAGGATAAAAGTTGAACAACACGTGCATGTGACATGTCTTCAACCGGAGTTCCTATAATAAATTAATATTTTCAACAAAGAGCTTTCCAAATTATGTATATTATTTATCCAATTGTTGTTCATTGCCTGTTAATAAAACATCTGAGTCACCATCAATCAAGACGAGTTCATCAATAGTACGTTCTTGTATTAAATATTTATAGGCTTCGACGATTAAATCAATACGTGTTTCATCATGATCACATAAGAACGCATAAATAGGCATTCGAAGTTCATTAGCAAGACGTTGTTTAGGAAAATAGATATTATCGGTCAGTCGGCTGACGTCCGTTCTTGGATCAACACGAAAGAGTAATTTTGTTAATTGTTGGCTGTATTTAGATAAAAGATTATGTTTTGTGAAAGTATAATTGATAAGTGTAACATCATAATTTCCAGAAGATTTCATTCTAAAATAATATGGTAGAGTACCAAATATATTATAGTCACCTCCACAACTAGCAAGAAAAACCGTTTTAAATGTTTCACTTGTCATAGTTGTATTATTTCACTTGACAAAAACAAATCTATTCCAAAGTCGTAGATTTTATACCTCTCACTCATGAGTCAAAAGGAAAAAAAAAGAAGAACAAACAGCATAATATATTTTTCTGCTTATCAATGGTGATTGCTTGTTGTTCTAACCTATAGCAATGAAGATAGAAACAAGAAAAATAAACATGCTGTTTAGCATGTTTCTATCCTTTTACATCCAACCTCAGTTGGTCAACACATTTGCTTATCTTATGAAAACAATTTAATAGTATTTTCTCTTGAAAAGCTATAAAATTTCTAACCTGAAGGTGTTACGAAAAGACGGATAATTGTAACAAGTGTTTTGATTTATGTTCAAAGACACGATCGTATTATGAATACGACGACATTTTTATCATTGAAATCGATGCAATGAGAGTTTTAGTAGAAATTTAGTATTCTGAATCGACGTTCTAAATCTTTGTGTTGATGATGAAACAATCGAAACCTTAATGATTTTTCGACCTCTTTCATATCGCATATTGTTAAAAATTATTGACTTATAAATTCATGGTTCATTAGCTAAAACTAGAAGAGTAGCATAAAACAAAAAAGTCTATAGTGATCGGCTTTCATAATTGAACGTATAAATCAGAATAAGTAATATTATTTTTGTAATCATAGCACCATAAATCTGTGACCTCTTTTTAATAGAGTTGTTTTGCTTTACTAGTTTTTAACCATTTCGCAGAGTAGCCACATCAGTAATTAGAATTTTTGGATAGATTGATGATAGTGTCAAATAAATATCATAGACTTAAAGTAAAGGTTCATCTAATTGAGTAGCTCGATAAACACAAATTTAAAAGTTTTTGATCAGCAAAAAATACTTTTTCTCGCTATTTTAGTAATAAGATACTTTGAGATTGTAATAAGTGTTCAACTTTGTCAAGTCTTTCTTCATCAATGTCGATTTATTGCTCAGTATCATCTATTATTGACATTATTATTCGATCAATAATTTGTTCTGTATTTAAACATTTTTTACGATCAACACAGGTCAATATCAATATACTAGGATGATGATAATTTAAGGATGAAAAATCGAGCATATTGGTTATCACAATTTCACTTCATTTGAGAAGATCATCAGATGACTTTGATCTGAAAATAGATCTGTCTCAATAATTGATTAATTCCATACTGTTTCGTAAATTGTCAGCTACGACTAACAATGTCGCTTTTGAGATTCATTCTAGCAGTATAGACATATCTTGTGTTGGTTTCTTGGATCATTATAGACAGATTTGCAAATATCTAATCATCTGATGCTTCTTTTAGCAGTGATGAGATTACAGCAATCATGGTATCGTAGTTGCTCTAGCACAATCAAGTACATAATGCGTTAGCCTAGTATTCGACTCTCCTTTATTTCCTTAACTGTAGGAAGAATCAGATGACGTAAGTTTACTCAGAGAAAATTTCCCGGACGCAATGCCTCTCCGACGACTGGAAACCACTTGGATCGAATTGTTCCAAATTGGCGAATTACGGTCAGTTTCAATTATTGGATCTCACCCGGAACAATTGGACTGGATCGATACATTTCGCTAAAAGAACTTTGTTAATAAAGCATTTATTAAAGAAAAGTGCATACGGCCCTATCTGATTGTCTTTTGTAACACTATGACTACGAGTTCAAAATAGTATAGTGTAGACTGCTGCTGAACTTTTGTAATAGTACTGGCTTGTTCATAATGAATACTTTTCTTCATCGCAAAAATATTCGCATATATACTGAGTATATGTTGGGTGAATCTACGACCCGACAATCGTTGGTCGACTTTTCTGTTGCAACAGATGATGTACGAAAAAGTATATTGGATGTGCATATTGAAAAAAGGAGCAGAGGTATCTCCTCAGTACCGCCTAGTATTTTGTACAGCGATACTGATCAAATGTTTGATATCGACAACGAAAAGGAAACTGCCTACCGAGCATGGGTCGGACGGCAAACAGCAAAAAATTGACACAAATATATACGTGCACGATATAAGGAAAAGAAGGTTATGCCTAAAACAAAGGCATCCTCTTGAGACAACGTCTGACATCAAGTACAATTTGACTATCATTTAGAAGTGGAAGTATTCTGACAGATCACCTTCTACATTCAAAAAATTGTCTCCATGAAAAGAATATTTCGCAGAGCTCTACAATATGACTGCTGTTAGACATGAGACAAAAAGTACTTTAGAATGAGATGATACTAGTGACATCTCAACAGATGAGATTCAGGCGGCAATAAGAGCATTCAAATCCAGAAAGGCTGTATATATCGATGAAATCAAGTCTGATATGATTAAGTCGCTCAAACGACACGAGATTCATTGGCTTACTCATCTGTGGCTAGTAACTACCTAGACGGAAGAAATAGCTTCACCAAATCGGTAGATCAGCATCATCGTTTCTATATTTAGAAACGGTGTGGATCCTCTCTTCGCCACAGACCTACACCCACACCTTAGTTAACTTCGACTGTCTTCAATCAATGTCTTTGATTAAGACAGAGAATAGAATCAAGAATTTCGAAACAGTTCTGCCAGCGAGTATGACAATCAAGTCGTTCATACGAAAACAGAAGCTAAGTAAATTCATAGATAGGTAATCACTTTTCTGGAAAACATTTTCTTTTCAGCTTTTTTCGTACCAGCTAGGCGGAAAGTAAGAAGAACATACCTTTGGCTATAACATTTAGGGCATTGACTGTGGAATAGTAGGAAATCTAGATCATTCTTAAGTAACATGTCAGTAATATCTTGAATATTTCGGTAGAGAAGCAGAAAGATGTTCGGAAATTTTTATAATAACCCATTTTATGCAACACTTTACGCTAACCATTCTGGTTCTATAGCTGAATATTTAAGATACTACTGAAATTTTTCTTTAGGATGATCTAGATCTTCCACAATTTTATATTCACATTGCTATTCTTTTCTAACCAATGAAGTTTTCGCATAACTTCCCACCTAACTAGTATGGGAAAAGTCGGAAAGAAGACTTTCTCCAGAAAGATGGTTGTACATTCATGGATTCATCTAGAGTACATAAATCAACGTAAAGTGAAGTCAGCTATGTTACAGATAGCTATATTGACAGTGAAATCCAACGTGATACAGGCACCAGTTTTCTTTTGTATGTCAAGAATAATAGATTTGAAATAAAACTCGATGTACTAATCTTCATGTTTACTACTTCTTTAGTTCATTTTTTGGGTCGTCCACTGCCTGGAATATTATCAGGAAAGAAGTAGACACTAATCATATCGATTGCATATCGAGTGGTTATTTGTTGCCATGGAAGCGCGTTGATTTTAACTCGAATGAGCATGGCCATCGCATCGGGTATTACTTTTCAAATTTTTTCTTCAAAAGGTAGACACAGGCGTGCTATGATGATATAAGAACAATTCGATAACAATCGCTAAGTAGCCAGTTACATTTACTTACATGGATTCATCATATCAGTCGGTATATAAGAATGAATACCAGTCGAACTGATTAATTCATTTCTTTCATTGTACCATTCAAGTTGAATCTGAACACTCTCATCATATCCTGCCATAGAAGCAGAGAAAAAGTAGTTGTATGGTGCACCTGAATAGAGAGATCGTGGAAAATGAACATTTTATATATACTCAGCATTCATACCAGCATCAGCCTGAAAATAACAATTTCCCTGTCATTGAGGGTCATCTTGTCGTAGTAATGAATCGGATCTGTCGTAGGACATGCGATGTATTTGACTGTACACTCGAAACTATGCATCCTTTGGTATTTTTGAAGAATCGGACTTGAACTCATCGGGAAAAGCTCGACCGATGTCCGAATCGGACAATGTTTCGCATGAAACTTCGGCATCACCATCATATAAATCTGTACGTCCATTATACCAGGCATATTATCGACTGGCAGCAATCACAAATACAAACAGTAATGCTAATCAATACATGTCCATGTAAAAACAATATTGAGTTATACTTTTTCTTATTTGATATATTTTGAAAACGGTTTCTTCCAAAATTATTGATACTTTAAATCGCATTCATATCATATTTCTCTTAGGTATTACATTGATAAGAAATAAACGAGAGGAGCAGTGCAGGATTCAATGAGAAAGTGTCAGTAAGAGTGAGAAAGTAATACTGGAATCGACGGAATTCAGCAAGCAAGTCGTATTGTGTTTAATGATGATAGGCAAGAAATGAGCATAGACTTAACATGTACGTGATTTTTCTAGCTCCACAATACGACTTTTTAATGCATGCCTCCATAATGGTCACTTCATTTAAAGATCACCATTCAACAGAAAATGTTGACTTCTACTTAGAACACAGCTAATATGACTTAAATACTATCCTGTGCCAGCCACTGCTAGCTTTATCTACATACTTCTACATTTTTCGATTTCCAATGAAAAAAAGTACTATGTCCATCAGATTGAATAGATACGAAGGGCATTTACTAAAGGTTCAGATTACCAATTATTTTAGATTCTCATTAGTTTCTATTAGATTATTCATGATTTTCATTGAACGTTTCCTATTTCGAAGATTACAGGTTCACCAGAAATAGCAAATCAATAAGACTTTTAAAACCACGAATAATTATCGTTTTCAACAGATTGAATAGCGACGATTTTCGTATCATTATTCGATTCTAATAAAAATTCATTCAGATCTCTTTCATGAACAGAAAAAGCGTTATCTCACAATGAACCACTTCGTTCGTAGCATAGACATTCTTACACATTTTCTCCTCTTTCTCATATTTTGGTTCCTCTGATCATTTTAATTTGGTACTTTTATTCGATGATAGGCACCGAGTGAATTTCACACAGATATTAAATCGCACAAAAGTCAGTAGCACAGAAAGCATTCATCAAAATGAATATTGCCCATTTTTTCTCGTTGAAAAGTGAAAACAAAATTCATAAAATAGTTGATATCGTTCAATATAACAGGTT